TGGGTAACCTTGGGTGTATTTGTTCAATATGGGTATCAAATGAAAGCTGTTCATGAATGCTTTAAGATTGAGCACTTTTCATATAGCTGGGTGACTAGGGTCTCGAGATACAGACCAAAACGTGGACCCGGGTAACCTTAGGATGTATTTGTTTAATATGGGTATCAAATTAAAGCTGTTCATGAATGCTTTAAGATAGAGCACTTTTCAAATAGCTGGGTGACTAGGGTCTCGAGATACAGACCAAAACGTGGACCCGGGTAAACTTAGGCTGTATTTGTTTAATATGGGTATCAAATGAAAGCTGTTCATGAATGCTTTAAGATTGGGCACTTTTCATATAGCTGGGTGACTAGGGTCTCGAGATACAGACCAAAACGTGGACCCGGGTAAACTTAGGCTGTATTTGTTTATAATGGGCATAAAATGAAAGCTTTTATGTCAAAAATATGCGGAAGCAAATAAAAAAAATTAAAAAATTCATGAATACCGTTTTTGTGAAAAATAAAATTGTGTAATGCGGACAGTTCTTTAATCTTCTTTAATATAAAAATAAGTAGGGTTTTCCTTCCTGACGCTATAACTCCAGAACGCACGAACCGATTTCCACGGTTTTGCATTCCATGGAGCTAAGAAAATTCAGGAGAAATTTCAATAGAAAAGTATATGGTGTGTGAGTATCCCTCACGAAAATAAGTATAGCAGTGTTTGCATTGTTCAACTTTGCGTTCAACATTTGCGTTCAACTCAACGCAGGGTTGCACGGAAAAAAAGTTGAATGGCAAAAGTTGGCTGGCGACCAACTTTGTTGAAAGCGATTAGTTGAAATTCCGTTCAACCATAAGTTGAATGCAAAGTTGAACCATAAAAACACATTTTTATTGCGATAATTTTGATATTTTTTCATAGCTTGATATTTTTAGCCCTTCAACTTTTTTTTCGTGCAACTCTGCGCTGAGTTGAACGCAAATTTTGAATGCAAAGTTGAACAATGCAAACACACTCTATGTTTCATTTAAAGTAGATGGTGCCGGTGCGTGAAACATTGTTTAACAGCTATTCATTGTACTTTGCTCAGTTAATTTCATGTGACACTAGCGAATACCCGGCGTGCTTCGCTGCGCCTTAAAAGTAATTTTGTTTTGTTACTCCCTCTCACAACATTTGAAAATATTAGTTAATATTGCTGTACATATTTGTATAGTAGGGAGATTTTTTCAAATTATATAAATATACGTTATTTGAATATTGAATCAATACACGTTTGAGGAAAGGGTGCGATAGTAGACTCCAGTTATAAGATTATAAATTAAATTTCCAAGAGAAAGTCGGTTCTTTACATATTTTCTAATTACCTTCGAAAATATATTAACTCAAAAAAAAAGAGATAAACAATGCTTCATAGATCGATTTTTTTTTAATCTAACTTCATAAAGTTCTTTAAAATATTTTGTAAATGAGGCCATAAGAGCTTAGGGGGAGAGTTACAACACAAAAATACATTTAAGGCGCAGCGAAGCACGCCGGGTAATTGCTAGTATTGATATAAATGATGATTTCATATTTTTCTCGGCTTTAATATTATCGTGTACCATGGTTTTTCAATCAATTTCAGACTTTTTGAGCACTTTAAAAAGGTAAATGTATTCAGTTTTCAATAAAAAACAGTTCAGTCATAAAAAATTGGGTTTCATGGTCGTAAAAGCTAAAAATTTAAAATAATAATTTCAATTTCAACATATTTCCCATTAAAAAATCAAAATTATCAACCCGGAACCACTCGGAATTTCCGGATCCGGAAAAAACAAATTTCATATTTATTTTCCTTGCCAACCTCATGTTTTTTCGTGCGAAAACTTTCGGTTCTTGAAAATCCACCAAAAAAGGCCACTCGAATACATATACATATGTATATATAATAAAACAATACCTATACGATAAAAAAAGCAGAGAAAAAGAAACAAATTAATAAAAACGAAATATTTAAAAATATAACAAAATACAAATAAAGAAAATGATATTAAAACAGAAATAAAATTAAATGAACATAAAACAAACTAAATTAAAAGAAACAATAATAAAACGTTACGTTACACGGCAGCTCTGTTAAGAGTTCACTCAGAAACCACATAGGCCCATTGCACAGTGGTTCAAAATTGGCATTTCGTGTTCACAATTCACTGGAGCCTTTATTTTTTACTTAATTTGAAAGCTAATAAAATTTGGAAGAGACCAGTTGAGCCCGATTTTTGAATTTTTGTTTGTTTGTATTAATTTTTTAGTGCAAAGTGCAGAAAAAGAGGACATTTTGAAGAAACTTGATTCTCCAGTTCCAGTTAATAAATGTAACATAATAAAAACTAGTTGAAAACAATTGTAGGGTTGCGACCTAACCGAGGAAGAGAAGAGCATCATATTTGGTGCCTGACTGTCTTAGAAATGGTTACCTGCATTCTCACGTGTGGATGTACCTTACTGCTTCCTTGGTAGCAAACTTTTTCGTCTAAGAAATTCCTGCGTGGTCTGATAGGCGAAAAGAGAGCTACTGATTGAGTTAAACAAACAAAATCCCTGCATATAGCATGGTTTGTCCGGGGTTTTAGATATGATGTAGGCGATAGACAACCATTTTATATCAGATGGCAGTATATTTAGGATGGCACTGTGCCTGAGTGACCTTTCTTTCCGAAATATATCTAAAGATGCGACAGTAAATTTTACGCACAAATAGAAATCAGCATGCTCTCGAAACTTGAAGTCAAATATAGGAAAACTGCATTTTTGGTTTTTAGTTAAGATTTTTTTAAAGAACTTTGAAATTTCAAAGATATGTATTATTGAAAAATGCAGTGCAATGTAGAATAGAAATATGGCTACCAAATGACTTCAGTATAACTGAGAAAGGTTTTGAAAATATCCTTTTAATATTTTCATCCTTGAACATCCTTAATACATCCTCTAATTTCGTCCTTCTAACTTTATTAGCTTAAAAAGCTAAAAATATGAAAATGCCCTTTTCAATATCTATTTCTCCTTACGACCCAACAAATTTTATTTTCTACAGAATTTTCCCGAATTGTTATTTTACAATGCACTGAAGCGAAAAACAAGAAAGGCAGTTGTACTTTACTCCGCCCCTAGTATTGCGAGTGTATTGATTTTTTCGTGTGTTTTAAAATTTCTTTGCTTTTGTGAGCAGAACATTTAGAGCCTCGGTTGGGCAGGATTTTATTGCACCCGTTGAGCCTACAGTAGCTGATCTCTTAGTTGTGCTACTTTTTTTTAGCGACATAACCCTCAGTTAGAACTGGCCACCAGACCAGCGCCCTACTTGAAATCAATGACCGGACTATATTTAGCCTCGGCTTCAAACCTCATTTATTGGTTGGCATTCTTTTTGCGATCCACAAAAACTCTAATATATTTCAATCTGTGGAATAGATCCCGTTATGTACCCTTTCTGTAGTAGGGAGTAGCCCGTGGTCCTCTCACCGCGTATACGAACTTGCTGTGGCAACCTAATTTAGCATAAATTACTTTACCCCTTAACAGTGAAAGGATACGCGGCCGGATGCAGCAATCTAGCCCTACTTCTGTAAGCTCCACATTTTCTGCCCTTTGAAGCTTTTTCAAGGGAGAATTCAGATGGTTGCCTAAAACGACAATATTATGAAATGCGTGATCTAGACAGAGAGAGAGTATTTAAAACATGCACGTTTTATAGGTTGAGTGTAACATCAAACATATTTTCCACCATTAGACAAATAATTTTCATGTAAATAAAACTAAAAAAAAAAATTCTTTTCATACAGTAAAAAAGTAAAGTATGCATACCGTAAAAAAAATAAAATACTGCTACATAAAATCATAAATAAGATAAGAAACAGCTCCTGGTGATATGTAAGAGTAGCTTGAGTATTTTTCTTTGCTATATAATCGCTGAAAATTTTTCAAATCGTACCAAAACTAGTTAAGTAAACGTAAATAAATCGCTGCTATTGCAAACCTAACGACCTAATGCCGAACCACAACGACTACAATAACGAAAAGAACAAAAATCTCTGAAAGAAACCAGAATAGGCCCAGTGAACCACAACATCTGGTAAACGCCAAACAGCAATCATTAATCACTTATAAATCTACAAACAACCACATGCCAGGCAACATGCTGACGGACAACAACAGCCGCAGTTGCAACGGTACTTTCGCCTCCTCCGCGCTACCCATGTCAAGCATTTCCGCTACCGCTATGCAAAATATTCTCAAGGAGGACGACACTGATCAAGAAGACGGCGAGGATGAAGACGATGACGAAGATGAAGATGAGAATGAAATAGAAGATGATGCCACGGTACTTATTTAAATACATATTTTATTGTTTTAAGATATTTTAATAAGAAATATGTGTACATGCAAACATACAAAAATTGTTGGCACATTCCTTTCGAACAAAGACATTCACTTTCGCTACTGTAGAGCAGATACCAGTTGTATCTGTACGATTTTAGATATGCATTGCACTTTTTTCGTTAATTATATATATATTTTATGCGCTTACATACATTATACATAGTAGTTCCCTCTCAGACACACGGATCTGTTGCAAATTTAATTAGTTTTCTTGTCCCAAATTGTGAAATGTGTTTTCTCTTGCTAAGAAAGTTTTTGAAAAACTTTCCGGGCCGTTTTCAAAGTAAAGAGTTAACTCACATTCAGCAGTTAGTTGGCTTAGGTGCAAAGTATAGAAAAATTAAATGGTTTTTATATTTCTGTATGTATATCGAAAATTGGTTAGCGTGAGAGAACTCACTACAATGCACGTGCAAATAATTAAAGAAAATATTTTAATAACTAGCTTGTGCTTTCAAATGGTTCTGCTGCACTTCGGTCTGTTATATCGAATGCTACAGAATTATCCGGATTATTTTGATGCTCTTAACAAGATGGTTATCTTAATCGAGCCGGTTGCGATAGTTTCCTTTCCTGGGAGTTCTAGGGTACAAATTATATCTCAGGGCATGGCCAAGGTTTGTGCTAATTTTAAACAAAATCAGCCAATTCAGCATGAAGAACAACTGATCTTCGAAGATAGTCACTTTGGCACTTACATACATTTTTGCCGAGCTTCTCTTCCGATTTATGGTGTGTATCCTGATGTTATAATCCAAATGGAGGGACTTACAGTTTTCCGACGCCTCGTAACGGCAAATGGTTAAAATGAGAAGCTTTTTTATGGCAGAAATACACTCGGAGGCTTGCCATTTCCTACCGAGGGGCGACCGCAGTTAGAAAAAAACGTTTCCAAAGTTTTTTTGATGCTACTCGGGCAAGGGATCATTCCCAGGTGCAGGTATTATGCACCTCTGACCACTTCAACTACTGTACATATAACATAAATATAAACCTAGTTTCATGTCAATGCCAAATCGCTATAATTATTTACTTGATTTAACATAAACGAAACAAATTGATTTATATATGTATGTAGATACATACACTTTAGAAATGTGGCAGCTCTCTTACCAAATCCTTTCAAAATAATTTGTTGCACATATTTGAGAAGCCTCAATGTAATCTTTCAATTAACAAAATTAAATTTGACTTTTAAACAGCTTTTTTGGGAAAAAGCTTTCTTTAGCATCTTCCGCTTGGCACCTGTATTGTTATGTTTGATGTAACTTCTCATTAAAATGAATTCGAAGTTTATCCGAAAAGAAGTTCGGAAAACCGAAAAAAAAGTCCAAAGAAATGAAAAAATATTTGAAAAGAAGCGGAAATGGTTCGTACAGAACCGAAAATCGGCCCCGTAGAGTACATTGCACTATTGATTTTTTTCGGCATAAAGTATAAATATGAAGATATCAGCACGAAATTCGGTTTAGATATGTGTTATAGAGTTCTGAGTTGACCTACCAAACTTTGTTCGGCTCGAGGCCCTATATCATTTAGTCGCCATATACCCCATCTGGCCGACTCACATATACCTCATTAGTTTTGATGTTTTTGACTTGAAATTCCGTACGTACGTACGTTTACGTGTTATGGAGTTCTGAGTTGACCTACAGAATTTTTTTTCTTTGAAGTTAATGTAATGCTGGTTTTTTCCTCAGCTAAAGCTTAGTATACGGCGCTCAAGAAAAGCAAAAGCGCCATATAAAAAACGCAGAAAAATGGCAAAAAAATTCTCTTATATCCTGCAAGAAATTTGTTGCGCTCTCCACTACGGTTTTCTTAAGTTTTTTGTAACATATATATGCCCGTTCCATTATTTCGTGAGGTTGTGAAATATCAGATGTCAAAATTTCATGGACACACAAAAGCAATAATTTAAAATTTTTTCTTGACCGTTTTCTTAGGAGATGGATACTAAGCTTAACCGATTTTGACCGAGTCCAAAACACCACGTCAGTCGTTTCTCTTCTGCGCCAATTGACGACAATTAAAAATGCCAAGTAAAGCAAAGTCCTTCTTCACCTGGTCTTTCCAACGCAGAGGAGGCGTACCTGTCCATTCGAGCTTATTTGAAATGATTTGCGTATTCGAAATTTTGTAATGAAATTCCATGTAAATATATTTAACGCAATCACTTTCCTAGCCTTTAAATGTATTAAGCATAAATAAATTACCTTTTCTATGCCTGGTCTATAAACATTAAAGACCTTACGATTAAATGCATGCTTAATGTGCAAAAAATAAAATAAAATATTTGTTTGCCCTTCGACCAAATATTGAACAGAATTGTTGTTGTGGTTTTGCGTTTAAATATGAAACAGGCAACAGGTCAACAATCAACAGTCTACACGGAGGGAGCTCAGACCAATTAAGTAACAAAGTTATTAGCCTCAGAGTGGCAAATTTGCAATGCAATCTAAAATTTTCAATTGCCTATTCGTTAAAGGGGAGTAACCTTTAAAATTTGCTGATGCTCGCAATTCATACATATGTACATATTAAGTATTCCTCTTTTCTTTTAAAAAGGCACTCAACTTATAATTGAAGTACAACTTTTCTAGTCAATCAATTTTGCTCGTAAGTAATGGCAAATTAAATATACACAGTGGTTAGACAAATATTTGATGTTTTGCTATTAATGCAAGCCTGCGGTTTTACAACAAGACTACTCAAGCATTAAACACGTTTAAGAAATGTATGTGGCTCAAACTTTTGGAAAATTGCTGCCTGGGGATAAAATTTAAAGTTAAACAATTTCACTTTCTGTATACGTACACATATGTTTAAGTGTGTATGTATGTACATACCCTGCAAAAAATGCGACTATTCAGGGATGACTCCGGGAGCAATCGCAAAGGAACATGCGACTAATACCACTTTTGATCTCTTTAGGTGGGTTGAACTGTTCGCTTTTTTCGAGCAGGTATAAAAAGCGACTAGTCAATTTAAAAAAATAAAAATTTGCACCAGCTGCGATTCGAACCGGGGTTCACAGTTTTGTGCCAACGCCACACATAAAATTTCATTGAGTAAGTGCGTACATATGACTAAATTCTTAATAGTACCTGTTATAGATGAGTCGGGGATTAATTACATTAGGGTGACTCAAAAATAAGTGGGAAAATCAACTTTTTCGATATTTCCTGCTGAACCTCCCAGAAGAATATTAAAAATAAGGAGACACGTATTTTTTTTTTTTTTTGAAATCGGTTATTATTTACCCTCGCCGCCGGGGCTTTGAAGTTTCCCATGTATTTTACATGGAGAAAATACATTTTTTCGTAGAATTGCTATAAAATCGTTAATTATTTTTCAGAGACCGAAAATAACTGGTCCAAATTAAACACATTGTAACTTTTTCTATCATTAACCATTTATTTTTTACTTTTTGTGATATATCACTGTGAAATCGTTTTATGCGGGGCAGCTTACGGTTAAGCTTTGGTTTCCTCAAAAGCGGTAACATAAAAAAGCGGTCGCAACTTTACGTTGCCAAAAACGTTGTCATGTAAATAATACAAGATGTCAACTAAGATGACGGCAATACACACCGTTATATAATTTGACGGCACCGTAATATTTCTGACGGCAAACAGTGACGGTGTATAACTATTTATCAACGTTTTTTGGCAACGTCATATTTGTAGCGGTGTATTAGAAAATTTGTTTACAATTCTTTTGACCAAAATAAAAGCATTAAATATACATTTCTATGATTTTTGAATAATAAAGTGGAAAGTGCATGGATGGCCGAAGAGGATGAAGTCCTAATAAACTTTGTGAAAAACAATGAATAATGCATATACAACATAAAAGCGCAAAGTTACGTTACGTCCATTTAGCTTTACATAAAAGCGGTACCGCTATTAGCGTTAAGAATGGCGTTCGATATGATACGGTCGTAATTTTACGGCACCGCTTTTCGAGGAGACCAAAGCTTTAATGACTGTGAGAAATGGATTCGCTAACGAAAATAGAGGCCAACCGCAGTTATTGATGCAATTTATTTTTTTTTGTTGAAAAGGTGAGGTAGTTAATTTAATTATGGTGCAGAGAAAATACTATATGATAAAAATGCAACGAAATAAAACAAACTATAAAGAATAGTAAGTAAACTATTTTTATTCGCTCAAATAATCACCGTTATAAAGTTTTTTATCACTACTCGTATCCAAGTCAAAAAAGCTGCGGAATTCAACGATTGATTTTCGACCCATTTTCTTCGCTTCAATAAATAAACTATACTAACTAGAAGCAAACTACCGAAGCACTTCACTCAGTATTTTTACCGTTGCATTTAAAACAAAAAAGTAAAACAAAAAGTCAATTCGAAACGTAAACAAAAACATCAAATCAAACAAAAGTCTAACCATTACAGATAAGTCAAAAACTTTTTATAAAAGTTATTATGAGTGGTTTATTTTTTATAGCAAGAAATAAATGACAACTTGTGACACAACAATAAATGGGTCGGTTATTTTCGGTCTCTGTTATTTTTTGTTCGAATAAGACCATTTCCCTTCAGAAGTCTTCAAAAAATAACACCATGATGCTTATTTAACTTGAAAATTTTACTAAGTGTGTTTTATTAACCAATAATCCTATCTGTTATATAAAAAAATTTGTTATTTTATGTTTTCTTAACTACATCACGCAGGAAGAGCTCATTGGATGTGTTTGTTTATTTTTTGCATCCTACTCGATTAGTTCTACGGGTATGTGGTAAAAAATTTTGAAAAATAGGGTTGCCAGATATTTCAAAATTTAAAATTATATAAAGGCTCAATAAAATAAGTAAGTTTTTTCATCAAAACTAAAAGTGTTCGAAGAGATTTAAAAAACATTTTTGTACGGCGCTACCACTTTTCAAAAAATAATACAACTGTTATTAAAAATTTA